TAGAGAAGAGGAAAAAAAAAAAGAGGGGGAGATGAGAAAGTCGACTGAGAGAGAAAGTGGAATGAAGGAAAAATAATATTAAGAGAGAGAGAGAGAGAGAGAGAGAGAGAGAGAGAGAGAGAGAGAGATGGAGATAAGGAAAAGAAGAAAGAACAAAAAAAATAAGGCATTCGTCTTTGTCTATTGCTGTTGGGGATATGAGATTTTTTTTATAAATATATTTTATAAAATTACAGAATTACCCTCTTTCACGGGTGGATGCGAATATTCGCAAATTGACTCGACATGACCCGTTAGCTTAACGGGCTCACCCGTTTTCAACCCGACCCATTAAGCTCAACCTAAATACTAATAATTTAATGCGAATTCGTGTCGTGTTAATGGGTCGTGTAAAATATTGCCGACTCTAATTGGTATATGAGTTACTTTGCCTTGATAATGTTGAAAGATTTTAATATTATTATCAATGAATCTTATATTCTCGATCTAGGATGATGTTTTACTTTACTAAAAACAACATAAATATTCTTTTCAGGATTTATTCACGGCTGGAACTGACACAAATGCAATTTCACTAGAGTGGGCATTGGCAGAGCTCATCAACCACCCAAGAGTGCTCAAGAAAGCAAGGGAAGAGATCGATTGAGCCATCGGAAATCGATATATGAGTTACTTTGCCTTGATATTGTTGAAAGATTTTAATATAATTATCAATGAATCTTATATTCTCGATCTAGGATGATGTTTTACTTTACTAAAAACAACATAAATATTCTTTTCAGGATTTATTCACGGCTGGAACTGACACAAATGCAATTTCACTAGAGTGGGCATTGGCAGAGTTCATCAACCACCCAAGAGTGCTCAAGAAAGCAAGGGAGGAGATCGAGCCGTCGGAAATCGATGAGTAGCCGGAGAATTGGATGTTCCAAATCTTCCATACATCCAAGCCATCATAAAAGAAACATTTAGGCTACACCCACCAGTGGCTGTGGTCATAAGAAACTGTGTACAACAATGTAAGATTGGGGAATATGACATCCCTACAAACACAATGCTACATATGAATGTTTGGGCCATTGGAGGGGACCCAAAGAACTGGGAAAGCCCACTGGACTTCTGGCTTGAAAGATTCTTGCAACTCGGTGAGGACGATGGCCGGATGAGTGCAGTGGATGTTGATGTTAGGGGCCAACATTTTCAACTCATGCCATTTGGGTCTGGGAGGAGGAAGTGTCCTAGTATGAACTTGACCATGAAAATGTTGCCTGGGGTACTTGCGGCTTTGATTCAGTGCTTCAATTGGAAGGTTGATGGGTCTGATTGCAAGAAGGTGAATGGTGATGATGTTCTTGAAATGGATGAACGGCCTGGAATGACTGCTCCGAGGGCGCATGATCTTGTGTGTGTTCCTGTGGCCCGCTTCAGCCCACTCAAAATCCTTGACCCATAAGGCAAACTTTTTTTATTTATATGTTCATAAAAATATTCTGAAAGTTTATTGTGTGTGTTGTAGTAATACCCGTAAAGGGAAAATAACTTTAATGTATCTTTGTATTTGTTTGCGCTAAAACTAGATGGATAGTAAATAGGCCAACTTAAAGATGAGGTGGATGCTGAAGTTAAGAACCCTCAGTGTGTGAGAGCATTCGGTAAGTAAATAGGCATGCATACAGAAGACAAATGTACGTGGTTCAACCGAATAATGGGCTACGTCCACGGAGAAGTATGTTCTCATTACGATAATGTGAGTATACATTGCACATAGGTTTAAACTTAAGGAGAAGAGGAAGAATACCAAAGGCTGAAGGCCGAAGACTGAAGGTCGGAGGCTGAAGATCTGGCTGAAGGCCAATGTTCTGTGGGCTTGTAAATAGGCTCATGGGTAAGCCCATGAGGCCCAAGTAGCCTGCCCAACCCTCTCCTTTCTTGAAGGGAGAGGTCTCCTTTTATAAAGAAGGGAGAGTCCCCTCCTCTTGTGTTTTGTCGATGTGGGACTCCCTTCCCTTTGGCTTGGGAGTGTTTGGGGTGTGCTTGGACAGATATTGTACAAACAGGAGTCCCCCAAGTTCCCGATTAAGGAGGTACTTCTTGATTGGGGACTTGTAGTCATTTAATGCACTGGCCAAGTAATGCTTCAGCTCATTCTTCAGTAGGCTGATGGTTGATGGCACCATAAAGGAGAAGTGTCTCCTGGAAGGTGCCGTTCGGCATGGCTTTGAGAAAAGGCCGAAGGCTGATGGCCGAAGGACGAAGGTTGATGGCACCGAAGGCTGATGGCGCCATAAAGGAGAAGTGTCTCCTGGAAAGTGCCGTTCGGTATGGCTTTGAGAAAAGGCCGAAGGCTGGTGGCCGAAAGCTGATGGACGAAGGCTGATAGCCGAAGGCCGATGCCGATAGCCGAAGGCAGATGCCGAATCATTGGGGGGATGTGAAGACATCGCACGCGCCGAATGATGCAGGGGTGCCGAAGGCCGAAGGCAGATGCCGAATCATTGGGGGGATGTGAAGACATCGCACGCGCCGAATGATGCAGGGGTGCCGAAGGCTGATTGTAGGAGGTGCCGATGGCATGGTTCAAAAGGGTGCCGAGAGCACTCGTGAAGGAGAACGACATAGTGTTTTGTATTGCTTCCCACAGACGGCGCCAATCGAAGGCCGAAGGCTGAAGGCCGAAGACTGAAGGTCGGAGGCTGAAGATCTGGCTGAAGGCCAATGTTCCGTGGGCTTGTAAATGGGCTCATGGGTAAGCCCATGAGGCCCAAGTAGCCTGCCCAACCCTCTCCTTTCTTGAAGGGGAGAGGTCTCCTTTTATAAAGAAGGGAGAGTCCCCTCCTCTTGTGTTTTGTCGATGTGGGACTCCCTTCCCTTTGGCTTGGGAATGTTTGGGGTATGCTTGGCCAGATATTGTACAAACAGTATTTTACAGCTTTAATGAGAAATAGCTTCTGTTTTTCTTAGTTCTTATGTGAAAAAAGGTAGGAAGAGTGAACGATGTTTTTTTTTGCACACGACAATTGATGCATGTAGGACTATGTAGCAAGGCATTTCTTGTGTGCGCAAACGTGGCATGTGCAAAGTATAAAACTTTGTTATTTTCTTTTTGGCATTGCCAACTTCTGGATGCATATGCATGTAATTACGGAGTGATTATAGAATATTACAGTAGTACGGTCATCTAGTATATTTTGTATATGTGTTATAATATAAGTAGATATTTATTAATATTATTTTGAAAGATTTACTATTATACCCAATATACGAGCCCAAATTATAATATAAAAAACCCTATATGAAATGGACTTTAGATATACAACTAAAGTCCATTTACAACATAACAAAAAGGCTTTTAACTTATGTTAAATTACAAAATTGCCATTGATTTCTTAAAACAAACCCAACCCCAAAAAAACCCAAAACACTCAATAGGGCATCAAAGTAATTTAATCATCAAAATTAAATTCAATAGAGCTTTTTGGGTTTGTTTATAGAAATTAAATGGTGTAGGGTTTATCTATATTATTAGTGCTAAGAATGGGTATATGACTAAATATCTCTATTATTTTCTAATACCATATTATAAAACGAGTACAAGATATATCACGTGTACACATAGCCATACTACCATAATATTCTATAATTTCTTGTAATAACGGGTGTCACATTAGACAGTTTTCCTTTTAGCTTTGTGCGGCATATATATAACGATGAAAGTCAATAAATGGAATTATACGAAAAAACTTTCCTAAAATTCAGTGTTTCCATTATATATATATATATATATACACACACACACACGTACCTGCCTTCCATGTAATAGGTTTTTTTTTTTCCAAAGAAATTTTGTATATATATACATGTGTACCTGCCTTACATGTAATTGTTTTTTTTTTGGTTTTCCAAAAAAAATTTGTACGGATTTTTATCTCAGTTGAGTTTAAAGATCCATACCAAGATATTATATGAGTTCAATTACCTGGGATAGAGGGTATAACTACCTAGACTAGAGGTAATTTATGGATTTAATTACCTGGACCATAGGTAATTTATGGGTGTAATTACCTGCATACGAGGTGTATGCATAGGTACGTTACCTATTGTTAAGGTATGAAATTTTCATGAACTCTTATTACAAATTTTGATGTCGGTATACCTTGCGAAATTTTCAAAATTCAATAAATAGATTTGCAATTAAATTTTTTTAAAAAAAGATAATTAATGTCCTACAAATCAATAACTTACCAGTTTTACAAATTCATAATTTACCTTATTTATGTTTTAGGAGCATAATTGGAAGAAAAAATTAAAAATTAAAAAAAGTAAATATCAATAAATCAAAAAAGGCATGTAATTTTATGTGGAACAAAAGTCAAAGAATTTGGATCAACAACAACTTCTGCGTGGATCGCACTCAATATCTCTCCTCATAATTGGACTTATGCCAAATTTTCTATAATAATTATTTTGGAGTGCTACAACAATTCCATTTGAGAATAGTCGTAAATGTGATAAGATTACCAAACTTTATAAGGCCTAATTATGGACACAACATGAATTGTATTTTTCAGGATTTCTTCACAGCTAGTACAGATACAACTGCTATTTCAATGGAGTGGGCGCTAGCAGAGCTCATCAACCACCCAAATATGCTCAAGAAAGCGAGAGAGGAGATTGATCGAGTCGTCAGAAATAAACGACTAGTCGTAGAATCGAATGGTCCAAACCTTCCATACATCCAAGCCTAAAAGAGACATTCCAGCTACACCCGCCGGTATGTTTGGTCACAAGAAGATGTGTACAACAATGTAAGATTGGAAAATATGTGATCCCAGAAAACACAATGCTCCTTGTGAATGGTTGGGCCATTGGAAGGGACCCAAAGTATTGGGAAAGCCCATTGGACTTTAGCCTTGAAAGATTCTTAACATAGCTCGATGGAGGAGGCAATCGAACGGCTAGAATTGATGTTAGGGGGCAACATTTTCAATTTTTGCCATTTGGGTCTGGGAGGAGGATATGCCCTGGTGTGAACTTAGCCATGTAAATGCTGCCTAGGCTACTTCGGGCTATGATCCAGTGCTTTGACTGGAAGGTATTTAGTCATAGTTTACCCAACAAATGGTTTAAATTAA